ACTGCCTGCCCACATTCCTCCAAATCCCAGGCCGGAGGGAGACCAGCAGTGTGAACACAAACGCCTCCCACCCTTCTCTGCCAGACCTGGGTGTTGCTTGCAAAGCCGTGCATGCAGACATTCCCATCCTTTCAGGAAACTGAGGCACTCTGAGCAATTTCCCAGGGACACGAGGAAAAATAAACACTCTGCTCACAGACTTCTTGCTCAGAAGTGGATTTGGCCCCATCCTTTGGGATGTGGGAGTTCCCATGGCTGCAGCCATCCTCCGCCATGCTCCAAATGCACCCTACCAGACAAACTTGCCCTACAGCCCCACTCCATCCTGGCTCAGCTCCTCATCCCTGCTCTGCATAAGCCCCCAGAGGAGCAGCACCCCACCCCAGGCTCACTTCCCCCCCCCAGGGGTATTTCCCTGCCCACAGCCTCCCTGCTCTGCTCCACAGCCCAGGCAACCCCCCCCCCCCCCCCCCATGCACAGAGCTGGATCTGCCCTGGAGGTAACAAATGGAAATACATCTGGGGAGTTCAGTGCCACAGTGAGCCCAACTGCTGCGGAGCTCCGTATCCCCCTGCCTTGGCAGTGCCTCAGAGCAGTTCTGCACCCAGCACAGGGCCAGGCCTTTTTTATTTTCAGCCAAATGATTCTTTGGATCTGAAATAAAATTGCCCACAAAAACCCTCTGGGGACCAAAACCCGTATATAATTCCGGGCTGAGGGAGCTCTCACCATTCCCTGCGTGGGCAGAAGGAACTCCACCTCCCGTGGCCCCACAGCTGCTCAGCTGCTCCACCACTGTCCTTGCAGAGAAATGAGCACAACGTGCCGCCGACTGACAGCACTGCTGCCAGCTCTGCCACCCCACGGCTCCCATTGGGGGCTAATGCAGACAAACAGCCCTGCTCCAAAATCCCTGCTGGGTTGCTGTGGGCTGCAGAGACACGGCAGAGCAATGGTGAGAGTGAGCCCAAGCAGTGAATGCACAACGACTTCCTCTGCCTGTGCTGGCAGTAACTGAGCAAAGAAGATATTCTGGGTTAAAGCGCCTGCAGAAGAGAGGTCTTACACGGCTGTCAAGGCAGCTTAGAGAGGAGCAGCTCCAGAGCCAGCCGGGCGGTATGAGATGGGGAAGAGCAAGTGCGTGGCTTTAGATGGCTTTTTCGGTTCAGTTTGGAGCTTAAGCACGCAGCGGCTGGACCCGAGCTCAAACTGCAACGGATGGGAGCACAGCAAGGAGTGACCCCAGCCTGCTGAGAGAGCACAAGGAGGGGACAGAACTTTTTGTGGCCCATTACCTGCTCCATATACAGGATGCAGGCGGCTCCTCGGGGCAGCTGGGTGCTGCCTCAAGCCTGTGCTGTGCAGGGAGCTGCAGCCCACCTTGCCCAGATGGTGCCGCACCACATCTGTGCCCTCTTGGCGTGGGCTCGGCCCACAGCCCAGGACCCTCTGCCAGCTGCAGCGGAGGCAGCGTCTCAGTCCTGAGATGTGAGCTGTAGGGCTGCACATCAGAACAAAGCTGCCCTGGAGCATCTGGCTTCCAACCCCCCTCTAGCACCATGGGTCACATCTCGCTCCCCGTTTCTTGTTCCATCTGAGCACCCTATGGAAAGCAGAAGAATTTGGCAATGGGTCAAATCACCCAAATGCAGAATCGGTCATTTTGTGAATAGTAAAAGTTTTCTGGAACAGCCCAGAACAAACTTCTGTTACCCCTGTTCTGATTTCTTCTTGGTCTGTTTCCTCCCCAGACCTAGGGTTGGCCACCAACCAGAAATCAGTTAACCTTTGTTTCTAGAATGATCTCTCCCAGGGTTTTTCAGCACGCTTGAAACGTGATTCCTTGGTCAGAAACCGTATCTGTTGAGATATTTGCTGCCTCACGTCCCAGGAGCAAGAGGAGAGCTGCTTCTGCATGACAAGCAATCCAGGCAGCAGTGACAGCAAAATCCCAAGGGAAATGACAGACAGTGTGGAGCTGGATGGTAACTTGCCCAGGCAGCTACCCCGCCTGGAAATTCATTTCCAACAGTGTTGATTCTTAACTGCAGCAGCTCCATGCTGAAGAGGAGAGAGTTAAGAGGTTGCAAAGAATTGGAGTTTCTTGAGTCATCCCTGGAGGCACATCCTATGTTCTCAGTGCACAACAGAACTGAGCACGGTGGTAATTGATATTTTCCTGCTAATCAACGGCTGGGCACACTGCCCCGAGTAAAGCAGGATGTAAAATAGGCAGATTTGAGGTGAGAATTCGACTGAGCTGCCCTCTTTCCCCAGCGCTCTGGAGGTGCCTGCGCCTGCACAGTCACACTTGGGGCTGCAGAGAAGCAGTGTGAGGACAGACAGAAAGAGATGCTTGGATCCGGCAGAGATCAGCATCTGCCACATCTCCTGGAGCTGCAGGGCAGTGCCAGCGCGGGGAGAGGATGCTGTGCTCCAGCAAAGCCTTCCGCAGACCCTGAGGCACACCCAGGCTTTGCAGGGACAGCAGCAACTCGTCATCCTCTGTGCAACGTGGAGTTATGAAACGATCCCGAGGACTCCGCAGAAAACAACGATTTTAAAGCAAGAAGGAGAGGAGCGGACATCCTCGGCTCCCTGCTGTTCCGTGGCTGGGAAGTCCCATCTCCTTACCGCGGCCCCGGCGGGGAGCCCCGGGGTGCAGCTCTCTCCGAGCAGCGCACAGCAGCGCGAGCAGCCGGACTGCGCTGCGGGCCGTGCCGCTGGGCTGGCCCCTTTCCAGCGCTCCCTCTCGTTCCTCTTTGCGAGAACGCTGCCGAGCCCGCAGCCCCTCCCCACCGCCACCCCACATCGGGACCGAGCCCCTCCGGCGGCACGGGGCGGCGGATGGACCCCGCGGGGGAAAGAGGAGCGAGGGGGAGAAGTGGAATGGAGTTTGCCGGAGAAGTTGAAGTGGTCGCCCGCCCCGGCGGTGACCCTCGCACTTCCCCAGGGTTCCCCCCGCGCACTCGGCGGCTCCCCCCCCTCCGAGCGCGCGGCCCTACCTTGTGCAGCAGGGCCTCGTTGTAGCCGGTGCCCGCCGAGCCTGCGGCGCGGGGCTCCATGGCCGGGACTCATGGGCCGGCCGCGGCCGCGGGGGGGCAGGCGGGTCCGGGACGCGCCGCTCCCTGCAGCACCGCGGACAGCGGCAGCGCCGCCTCCAGCACCGCGGGCAGCGCCCGGATCCGACCCGCGCAGCGCGGCTCTGCGCTCCGCGCTCCGGCGCCGCCCCTTCGGGCTGCGCTCGGCTCCGTCCCGCTCAGCACGGCTCGGCTCGGCTCGGCTCGGCTCGGCTCGGCTCGGCTCGGCTCTCTGCGGCCGCTCCCTGGAGCAGCTCCCGGCTCCTCGCCGCTGCCGTGTCCGCCCTGCCCGCGGCCCTCCCCGGTCCCGGGGTTGGGGAGGAGGCGGTCCAGCCTGGGAGCCAGGAAGGCCGCGGGATCGCCCCTCGGCTCGGGCAGCTCCCGCACGACCGCCGGTCCCTCTCTCGTCCTCCCACCTCCGCCGGCGGTTAAATTGCGCCCTGCCCCGCACAGCCCGGGGCTCCCAGCCCGAGGGCGCGGCCGTCTCTCGCCCTCATACCGGGAAACGCTGCTCTCGTTCATCGCCCCCGCCGCGGGAGCTGCCCGAGGGGATGGCAGAGATGCTTCCTGCTGCTCCGACCAACCACTGAGCTGAGAGAACGAGGCCAGGTCCGCTGTGCTGATTGAGCCGTGCTTCGTGCTCAGCTCACCCTCACTCAGTTAGGGAGACCTGAACTGCACAGGGCTTCTCCATCTGACACCTCTCCAGCCATCAACCCACACCTCCATCGGGCAGAGCACAGCTGAAGGGTCATCAGGGCGGTGGTTGGTGCTGGGCAGACTATTTCAGCTTCTTGGCAACCCCAGGGCTATCAGGTGCCCGGCTGTCCCAGCAGCTTCCCTTTGCAAACACACTGCATTCAGAGGGCAGAGGTAGGAATTTGTTAGGAGAAAAAAAAAAAAGCAAAAAAAACCAAAAAAAAACCAAAACCAAAAAAACCACACCCCAAAAATAACACAAATTGTGTTGAGAAACAAGAGGGAGCTGTACCTCAACCTGGAGGTGAAAGTAAATGTCTAATTGAGATCCTCTTACTAACAACTCTCTTTAGAACAATCTGGTGCTTTTGATTAGACTGGAAACAAACAAACCTCTGCTGGGAAACTTATTTAAGTTGTGCTGTCTCTGTCCCCTCCTTCCGGATCAGCAGACGGCCCCCAGCCGGAGGAGCAGACCGTGTTTCCAAGAGCCATCTGCACCCATTCAATTGCTGGTTTACTGTCTGTGCCTGACATTGCTAATTATATCTACCCATTAATTCCTCTGACAGCAGAGATGGTTCTGCCAGGTCGGAGGATCAGCCTTGGCAACAAAGCTAGAAAAAGAAGAAAATCAACCCAGCGTGCCAGGGGTTTGGGGCTGGCCAAGGCCAGGAACTTGTCCCAGCAAGGAGGGGTGAAGCCCCCAGAATAGCACCAGGTCTGAAGCTGCAGTCCTGCTCACTTCAGGGTGGGGGTTCCTGGCACATCTCTGCTGCAGGAAGGGCTTGCAGGACGTTCTCTGGCTGCTCTCCATTCCAGCAGTATTTGTTCTCATTTCCTGAGTCATGAAGGAGAGCAGTGAGGAGCGGAGGAGCCGGCGGGAAGCACGGCCCCGGGCTCTGCTGTCCCACATGGGCACTGCTGGGGATGTGCTCAGCCTTGCAGGGCTGACAGTGCAGGGGAGAAGAGCTTTCCTCCTTCATTGTGCTACTGCCAAACGTGGTGCTGCTCTGCCAGACAGCGCGGATCGCTGGCAGAAGGGAGGCAGGAGCAGTGAGAAGCACACAGCTCTCCAGCAGCACGGGTGGGCGCTGCTCCAAAGGCTGCATGGCACTTCATGGCTGCTGAGGACCTGACTCGTTACAGATAAGTGATGTCAGCAGCTTAATTGGAGCTCGGCTGCCTGACACCCGGAGCACCCCCTGTCCTTTACACAGATCCCCATTCCTTTGTATGCTGATGCACAGGGCATCCTCCTGGCTTGGCAGCACGTGGGTTGCTTTAGATGTATGTAAACAGCAATAAAGAAACACCCTGCAGGGCTCAGTGCAGAGAGATGAAGATCCTGAAGTGAAACAAGGACCACGGGGCACACGGCTGGTGCTGGGGCTGTCAGTGAGTGGACAGGGTGAGCAGGGAGAGGGGAGTGGAAACAGCACAGGGATCAAGGAAAGCCAGAGGTGAATGGGGATGGGGCAGCAGCTGAGGCTTTACTGCCCAGGATTCCCCATGAGTTTTATCAGCAAAAACATGCTAGCAGTCATCGGCCACGTCTTGAACTTAGAACATGCTGCTGTGTGCAGTGACCTGGGGCCAGAAGGGTGGAAGCCGCTCACAGCCAAACTGCCCCAGGTCCCTGGGAACGGGGCTACGAGGAACAAAATGCAGAGCTTCCTCTTTCTGTGCCAGGGAAGGGCATGGGAGAGCGTGGGGCAAACGGGCAGGGTGGGAAGGAGCTGCCCTGAGGTCTTTTCAAGGGGCATTGAGGAAGAAAGGCGCTGGAAGGACACAGCCGTGCTTTGTGCAGACTGATTGGGTTCTGAAATTTTGCTGGAAACATTTAGAGAGAAAAACAGTGTCACCCAGAAACCACATCTGTGCCAAAAAAGGCACCTTTCTGGGGAAGCAAGGCACTTCTGCTTGATGCACCAAACAAAGGCAGCCGCCCTCGCTGTGCCAGCACTGGAGATCTGTGCTGGGGGTTTGCACTGAGTTGGGGCTGGGGGCGGCAAAAGCCCCTCTGCTGGGCCCCCAAATCCATCCCGGCTGCTGGGATGGGCGCCACGGCTGGGAAAGCTCTCTGCATTATGGTGCTTTGCTGGAAACTGGTGGTGGTTCCAGAGAAGGGTCATGAGATCAGAGTGACTCACGGATAGGAGGAAGGAAGCAAATGCCTTTAAAAAAGACATACGGGGTCTCAAGCAAACATTGCCCAGGGAAACAGGCTTGGGAACCTCCTGGGCACACAGCAGCCTGCTCCGTCCGCCGGGAGCTCTGTGATCACCGCGGGGAAAGGTCCATGTCAGGAGGGAGAAGCTGAAAAATGAGGATTATTCTGGTTTGGATGATTTTCCCAGGTAAGTGTGGGTCATGTTTGGGTCAGGGGAGGCAGTGGGGTGCAGCCGTGCAGCCAGGGGTGCCCACCATGCTGTGGGGCACAGCTCTGTTGCCGCCATCCTCCCCTGGCAGCTGCAGCACCCAGACAACTCCAGCCCGCGCTACCCTTTGTATTGCTGCTACAAGAGGCTTCTTCTGGCTTGCCACCGTGCTCAGTGGGGGCTCTGTTCTTAAGGCTGGGACATCCCTCAGTGCTGGCTGAGCTCACCGCCCCTCTCCTGTCCCCTGCAGGTATCTGGGCGGTCTCAGGTCCCTCGCAGGTGACGGCCCGCAGGGGCAGCTCGCTGTCGGTGTCCTGCAGCTATCGGCTGGGCAACAAGCACCACTCCAAGGTCTGGTGCAAACCATACTTTTTCAAGATCTTCTGCTCCTACATGGCCCAAACCAATGGCTCAGAGGCGGCGATGACACAGGGCAGGGTGTCCATCAGGGACAACCACACGGCTCTTGTATTCACGGTGACGATGAGAGATGTGATGCCGGAGGATGCGGGCTGGTACTACTGCGGGGCAGTGAAGTCCCTGTGGCACATCACAGGCAATCGGTGGCACAAAACCGAGGTGCTCGTGTCTGAGGGTAAGGCAGAGGGTGCCCGGGGCTGGTGCTGGAGGAGGCAGAGGGAGGATGGAAAGCACTGCACAGAGCAGAACTCTCCCTCCCTCCTTGGTAATGTCTCTGCTCCTCTGAGCCCACCCTTAAGGTTTCTAGTTCTCTCCAGCAGAGACTCTTTCTCTGGCTCCTGGGTGTGCCTGCACCACATCACAGCAGTGATGCTCTTCTCTTGCATAACATTTCTCCAAGTAAAACATAAACATCCTATTTCAGAGCATTGTGCCATCAGTTCTTCCACTGTGGGTTTTTTCTGCAGCTCTCAGCACTTTCCTTACGCCCACAGGGATGGAGCTGACCCCGAGCAGCAGTGCTGTGCTGGGTGCTGGGCCGGCACAGGGTGATGCCCACAGCCCTACAGGGGCCACGGACCCCCTCCATCTCCTCCAAGGTCCCTGGATGGTGACCCAGAGATGGGCTGTGGGGGTCCTGCATTGATTCTCTGCCTTCTCTGCACTCGTTTCAGCCACAGCCGAGGCCGGCGATGTGCACCCGCTGCCAAAGGCAGAGCCATCCCCCACTGGCTGCGAGGAGCCTCCAGCACTGTGAGTTGGGGCTCGGGGTCACACTGGCTGCGGCCACTCCCAGGGCATCCCGCAGGGTGAGCGGGTGGAGGCTGGGCACAGGGATGCTGCAGCCCGCATCTTCCTTGCCCAGACCTGGTACAAGCTCTGTTGTTTTCTCGCTTCTCCTCCGCAGGTCCCAGCTCGACATCACCCTCCTGCTGCTCGTCCTCGGTGTGAAGGTGCCTGCGATCCTGGCCCTGCTGTGCGGGGCCGTGTGGCTGAGGAGGTGGCACAGGAGCTGCAGCCCGTGGGAAAACCTGCAGCAATCTGAGAAGTCCAGCAGCACTGCGGCACCGGGCAGCTCGGCCCCCCAGCAGCCTGACCCCCCGGCAGCACCACAGCGTCCTTCTGGTCCCCTTCCCCACACCCTGCCAGGGCTGAGCCACTGCAGCTGCTCAGCACCAGGAAGCTCTCCCCATGCAAAGCCTCAGCCCCTCCTGATGCCCCCCAAGTTGCACGAGGGAAGGATTTCTGTGTAGAGATCTTGTGTCTGCTGAGCTTGAGGTGCCACCAAAAAACAATTTTGAAAAAAAGCCTGGGTATCCTGCAGGTGTCTGTCTGTCTGTCTGTCTGTCTGTCTGTCTCCAGCACTGGCTGGGGCTCCAGGGGCTGCCGACACAAACGTGTGGGGCTGTGCTGCTGTGCGGGGAGCCCCAGCTGGGGGGGCATGGTGTCACATGGGAGCCGTGCACTGCAGCCTGACTGAGCTGCCCACGATTTCAGTCCTGCCCCATGCAGCCACGCACCCACAACTGGCTGAGTTGTGTCTTTCCATGGCAGGACTGCCCATCCTGAGCCCAGGGCTCACAGCACACCTGGCTGCAGCGCTGCCTCCTCCCCTCGCTGCACCCCATCCATGGCTCTGCACCCATCCCTGCTGAGCTCCACCAGGGATCGCACTCCTTCCCATGCTCTGTGCTTGGCGGCAGCAGAAGCAGTGCTGCCATTCACATGGGGCCCTTCAGTGCACACTGAGTCCTCTGCCAGGACATTTTTTGTGTCACAGAAGATAACTTGCCCAAACGGAGCTGGGGGAACCCCATCAGCCTGATGGAACCCCACTGCATGGGCATGCTGAGCCCAACCTGTCCTCCAGGGCAACGGCAAGGTGCATGAGGGACTGGAGCTGTGGGGGATGAGGTCTGGGGATGGGGAGAAGCCTGGAGACACACAACTGAGGAAGAGCATTGTGATGGTGAGGGTGGTGTTGGGGTGGAAGCTGGGCGGTGAGGTTCAGGGGGTGGGAACTGAGTGCTGCTGGTGACAGAGGGATGAAGGAAATGAACTCAGAGCAGAGGAAACCAGAACTGCACATTGCAGTCCGACTTCTGCAAGTGCCTGGCTGTGAGTCAAGCAGAAAGGGGAAGGCACAGCCCTGAAGGACAGGCACAGAGCACGATCTGCACGAGGGCTGCCCGGGGCAGAAGTGCAGCTGGTGCGGCCATGCGGCTGCTGCCGCTGCTCTGCTGCGCGGCTCTGTGCCTCCCCGGCCGGGCGGTGCGGGGTCCCGGCACCGTGGAGGGGTACATCGGGGGGTCCCTGTCGGTGTCCTGCTCCTACCAGGAGAGGTACGAGAAGTACCCGAAATACTGGTGCTACCCTGGGATGATTAACAGCTGTTCGTATAAAACCCACCTCGTCATCACGTCGGAGCAGCAGCCCTGGGCTCAGCAGGGCCGAAGCTCCATCTGGGACAACCGCACGGCGCGGGTGTTCACTGTGACCGTGAGGGACCTGACTGCGGGGGATGCGGGCACCTACCGCTGCGGGGTGCAAAAACACCTGTGGCAGATGGATGTCGCTGATGAGGTGCGGGTCATCGTGTTGCCAGGTCAGTACCTGTGGGTCTGACGTTTCCCCCATGCCCAAGGAGAAGTGCCAGGAGCAGGGCTGTGTGATGCAGCTGCTGGGAGGAGGTGGGCACTGACATGGAGCTGCCCTGGGATGCATCACCAGGCTGTGCAGGCTGCCACCATGATAGGGGTCTCGGTACGGTCACTTTTTCTGCCCCTCCTTCAGCTACCCCCTCTCTGCAGGGCATCATCCTGCTCTCATGCTCCATTTTCACTCTGCTCTGATCCCACTGGCTCTCCCTGTGCTCCCCTGGCCCACATGTTGTGCCACCATGGAGTCCCTCATTCCCGCCCCATTTCCCACCGAGGAGCACCAGACCCCCGGATCAGGGCCATGCAGTACCACTGCTGGGGTGTGTGTGTGTGCTGGGGGGACTGGGACTGCTGGGGAGGGGGCTTAGAGCCTCAGCTCTGGGGCTGTGTGCTCTGTGCAGAGGGGACTCCGTGTCCCTGGGGTGACTCTGAGTGCATCACCTCCGACTCTCCCAGCCTGCAGCATTTCCCATGGAGGCAGGCAGATGTGCTGAGCGCTTCCTATTCTTTCACAGGTCCCAACACAGCATCACCCTCCACATCAGCCATTACCCCTGGCTCCATTTCGGGCCCCACATGTACGCCTTCCCAGCAGGAAACTGCAGAGCAGACCACACACCCCACTTCCTCCGGAGACCTCAGTGAAGGGCAGTGAGTACCACTCGTGGCCCACACTCAGGCTTAGACCTCCTGCCTTTGCCTTCAGAAGGCAGCCTTGTGTCCCGTCAGACAGCTGCTCAGTGCAGACAGCAATGTGGGACCTGGCAGAAACACACCTGCCTGCTGGTGTTGAGCAGCAGGAGGAAGCAACAGGTCATGGCTGTGTGAGAAGAGAGCTTGGGCTGCACCGCCGATCCCATTTCCTTCCTCATATCTCGAAGGGTGTTTGCTTATGGGAAGCCGCTTGTGCGCTGAGCTGGGTGCTGTTCTGCTTTGCAGTCACACGTGGCCTCGCAGGGGCTGCCCAAGGGGCAGCAGCAGAGCTTCCCTTTTCCTCCGTCTCTCAGAGGTGATGCAAGATGTGGGGAAGGCTGAGGTTCCCATCAGTATGAGTGATCTCCTTCTCTAAACCCATCCCCTCGACACAGTAACTGTGACTTTGCTGGCAGCAAAGCAGGTCACCAAACAATGCATCCAAACCAGAGCAGAACAATAGAGAGGCAGTGGCAATAAGTGGTTCTTAAAACACTGGAGGTGCTGCAGCTCTCAGAACGGTGTCCCATTTGCTGCTGCTCCTTGCAGGCCGAGGACCACCTGCCTGCTTCCCTTGCTCTCCAGGCAAGCCCTTTGCCCACAGCCATGACCAAGCCGAGCAAAGTGAGCAGGAGCAGCTGCCCACATGCCTGCTCTGCAGTGGTTGCTGCTGGCTTTGCTGTTGAGCAGAGTGAGAGAATAGAAACTCTTTCCTCTTGCAGGTTGGACGTAGTCATGGGCATCCTCATCCCATGCATCGCAGTGGTTCTGTTTTTCCTCACACTTGCTGCTACCGTTTTGGTAATTCTGTCCTGGAAGAGGAAGAAGGGTGAGCGAAGCTGTCACCAGTGCCTTTTTCTGTCTAGATTTGGTGTGAATTTTGGTGCCAGCACAGGGAGGGGCAGAGGGCCGCCAGCTTTCTGCTGGGTCTGCGTTTGTTGCAGGGCTGCTTCGGGCCAGGCGCCCCGGGTCCCTTCCTGCTCTGCGGTGAGGTTGGCCGCAGCAGCGCAGGGTTTCACACACTGCTGTTCCTCTGCTTTCCCTTTTGTCTGACCATGACTGCGTCTCACGCAGCCCTCGCAGGAGCACCCATCGAGATGGGCAGCACTCGTGGCACAGCCAACGCGGTAAGGCGAACAGCACGGGCCTGGGGAGCTGTGCGGGAAGGGGGAAGCGCTGCACTCTGTGCTCCTGCCTCCATCCCAGCACTGATCACTGAGGGCAGTGGGATGGGAGGTGCTGGAAGTGCGCCCCGACTCTTCTCGGTTGGTTGCAGGAGGTGCTGCAGTACGCGGATATCAGCCACGTGGGCACGGAGCAGAGCCATCTGTACAGCAACGTCAGGGCTGCCCCTGCATCCCCACAGGCAGCCACTGAATATTCCGAGGTCAAGAAGCCGTGGCAGGTGGGAAAGCTCAAGGAGGCAGCAGGAAGAAATCCCACTTGGGGGCTGTAATGGGGGGGACCTGGTGTGGGGCAGAGCTGAGTCGGATGGGCGGGTTACAGGTGGATAATTGCCACAGATAACGAGGCTGCCCTCCTGCTCTCTGGTCCTGCAGCTGCAGTGGACGCTTGAAAGGGATGGAAGAGGCTCTGGCGGATGGATGTTCCTTGGAGAAACCACGCCAATCGTTTTTTATATTTTTTCCCTCTTTTTCCCAGGATTTAAAAGGGAGTACAGAGAGCCTTTATGCACAGGTGTGCAAAATCCCTCCCGAGGAGCAGGAACAGCTCTATGCCAACATGGCTCCCAGGCAGCAGCGTGCAGCACAGTGAGGATGGGGAGCCAGCACTGCTGTCTGCTGGGAGCTGCTTGGGACGCTGAGACCCACTCGGGGGCGTCAGGACAGTGCGTGGGGCAGGAACCGGCTGCATGTCAGAGCTGCTGCTTTCCTAGGCTCCGCTGCTTCTTTGGTACCAAGACAGGAGGAGGTTGAGCAAGAGGCGACAACATCTTTCCCTGCGTTCAGAGACCTCGTGCCCCACGTGGCAACCGTGCTGGGAGCAAAAAATAGTCCCTGCACTTGTGCGGCCCCTGCTGGGAGGGCGGCCGGCAGCGATGCTCCCATTCGTCCCGCACGGCCGCTGGGAAACAGCCGCTCACATCCCCGCGCTCCCCAGGGCGGCTCCGTGCCCCAAGGCCCCGCTGGGAGCGCACCCTGACGGGCCGCGGCTCAGCCCCCCCACCTCCGCCCATCATTCGCTCCCGGGCGCCCACTCGAAGCATTATTCTCCATAAAACATCTCTCTCAATTAACGCAGCTGATACTTCGGTGAATCCGTGGATAACTCCGAGGAGCCGGGCCCCGTTCCACCGCATCTGGGGGTAATTTTCACAGCAAGAGCTGCTAAGAGCCGCTGCCGGGGGACAGCGGACGCTGCGGGGCCAGGAGCCGCCCGAGATCTCAGTGCAGACGGGGCGGAGAGCCGCACAGCCGCCTCGTGGGGCCGGAGAGCTCCGGCGCACCCTGCAGCCCTCCGCCTCCGGCGGCACCGCGAGGACGCGAGGCGCGCCCCCGCACACGAGCACGCGCACGGCCTGCCGCACACGTGGACGCGCGCAGCGCACGCGCAGGAAGGAGCGCTGCACGCACGCACACGCGTCCGCTCCTCAGCAGCGCGCACGCGCTCCGGCACGCGCGCCCCCGCCCCTGGGGCTCGCGCGCCGTGCCCGCGCCTTTGGCCCCGCCCGCCTCCGGCCGCGCGTGCGCGCCGCAGCCCGCCCCGCGCCGGCGGAGCGGCCGTGACGATGGGGGCGAGCGCCCGGGTGCGGAAGCTGGCCCGGCGGTACCGGCTGGCCGTGGCCACGGCCCTCGCCATCCTCCTGCTGCAGGGGCTCGTGCTCTGGAGCTCCGCCGGCCTCGACGAGGAGGGCCCGGCCGAGGTGCGGAGCGGGGGGACGGAGAACGGAACGGGCCGGGCCCGGGGCGGGGGGCGGGCCGGGGCCGCGGCCGCCGGTGGGCTCGGAGG